GGTGTGCTGGATGCCCAGCAGGATGAACTCGGTCACCACTGAGGCGTTCCTCATGGCCGGGCTCCGGTCAGGCCTTGGAAAGGGACTCGAGACACCAAAGTCTGAACACCAATAGCATATTATCAAGCTGCTAGCTGAGGACAGCTTTGGCTGTGTTTGTAACAAGCAGAACCCAGCCCCCCTAGGAATGGCAATGTCTGTATAAAACTTCGAGTTAGTAAGAGATGCTTACATTAGAGCCACGGGCTATCCAACCCCTGGAAGGAATGTGTATGTGGAGGCAGGTGGCTGTCTTGGATGACAAGGCCAGGAGTTTAAAGTATATTCAAAACATTCTCCTGTGAAGTGAGAAACCTTTTTATAGTTTTCTAATTCACAGATTTACTCTCTTTAGGCCTATTTCTATTTGGAACTGTCACAATATCTCTGAGCAACAAACTCGCACTCTGTAATACCTGTTGAAAAATATCAGGAAAAGAAATGGCATTAGAAATCAGAACACTTCATTTAAACCCTGGTTTCACTGTATTCATTTACATAATGTACACATTTTTCATTGGCATAGTTGCATTACCTTTGATATAAAAATCATAATGATCATAACTGGAACAGGAACAACAAAAACACCCTCGTACAATAGTAAAGTTTCTGAAATGTCTATGAAAATATTTGGCAAAAAAAAAAATCCAAATGAAAACATTTCCTTTCTTTTATCTTAATAGTTATTTCTTTACATGCTTTTCTTTAATGTTGGTAGTGTATAATGATTTTCAAAAAGATGCCTTATTTAACAACACTATTGAATAAACTTGGAACATATCGTTTCAAGATTGTATCCTCCCAGAAGTGGGAGGTTTAATATTTCCAAATTTATCAGGAGATGCTGTGCTGGATTTTCTGGTCCTTTTAACATTTTCTAGGTGCATTTGAGGCAAATCTGAAATGCTACGTAAAAGAAATGTAGCAGCAAGGAAGACACTGAATTCATGTTCCTGTGATGAAGACATAAATACTGGGACCCATAGGCAGGAGATCAAAGAACAACTCTACTGAGGAAGGTTCAGCAAGTCAAGAGCAGGACATAGGGTCCGGCAGCACGAAGATCTCCTCCTCTGATAACACATAATAATACCAATACTGATACCAATACCAATACCAATACCAATACCAATACCAATACCAATACCAATGCTACATAGGTGCATGCTTTGATATGTATGTCATCTAATGACTGTTTTCTATGTAGCACGGATTGGGCTTAACACTTTAAAAAATATGACACGTTTTTAAAAATTAATTTGTAAGAAGAAACTCTTACTACTATTGCCATCTACCAATCAGGAAACAAATATTAGAAAAAGTAAGCAAGTTGTCAACATTCACAAAGCAAGCCCATGGCACAGCTATTTCATGCTATTGTCCACGCCCTTCACCACCAGGAACACTGTCTTCTGTTTGCCTGTCTCTTTAAGGACAGCCTGTCCCATCGTTAGGCAAGGACACCCTTCTAGGTGGGCTGGCATCGTCATTTCATACTAAGGTAGAAAAAGGATCCCATTTGACTTCTTCCTGGTCATTTCCAGGCTTGACTTAGAGCACATCCAGTTAACATCTAATTTAGTTTTTAAAATCACACAACGGGCTTATGTCTTACCTTTGACACTATCCCTGCATATCAACCCCAATGTGGGAACTTGGAATTTAAAGAGACACATTCACCATGCGGATTCCAATCATAACCCGTGGCAGGTGCCACTTCAGCACATACCTAAATAGAATGGCCACGCCAAGATGAGTAACTCACCTATCGCCCTAGAACGGAGCAAAAGCCAAGATGGCAAAGAGAGAAACAGTGGCATTATGGAGGACAAGTGCACAGAGAACTGGGGGCAGGGGGCGGGGGATGCAGGCGGTGCCAGGTCAAGGCACCCACCCCGCTGATCGCCCCCCACACAGAGGGCAACCTGTGGAGGGGGCGGGGCCAGCAAGTGGGTGGGAATGGCTGACCTCTTGGTCCCTTCCCCAAGTTGTCAGGCTCTGATCACCTGATGGCAAACGGGGAACAAGGAATGGATGGCGGTGGGGGGCAGGGCCAGCTGCAGGCAGCTGGGGAAGATGGCCCTGATCATAGGCCAGGCTTAGGGACCCACCTGTACACGAATTCGTGTACTGGGCCTCTAGTAGTCATATAAGAGCAGCAGTGTGGACATTCTCACAGTCTACCTGAGAGCACAGTCAAATTTTCCAAAGTGTGGTCATGAGACCTGTCAGTTACTGCTTCTCGGCAGAGCACAGAGTGCTCCAGCTAAAGGCGTGTCAGGTCTCCTACTTATAAAGAATTGAGTCTCATAGGGTTTGCACCATCGAGATCTGCCCATACTCACTCTCCCTGGATTGCTTCCTTGAAAGTTTTTTTCAAACCCCCTTAAGCCCTACTTTGGACTCCCTGATGGCTCTGAGGGAGCAATTAGTTTGTGAAACTAATGCATCATCTAGTCATAAGATAATAGTACTGAGATAATCAGAAAGGGTGCAGTCAAGTGGGAACTATCTATATCTCTCCACAGTCAGCTAGCCTGAGGGTCAGACCCATCCATAGATAAATCAGCAGCCGTCAAGACTTACTAACAACTAGTGTACTCATATAACCCACACAAAGGCCATCTCTGGAGCACCTGGTTCACATAATAACAAAGACGGTATCACTGAGTTTCACAAGACATCTACTACATAAGGACATTTTACCTACAACAGGAGCCACAATGGGGATATATTTAGAGATCTCCAAATAAAGACCTTCCCAGATTAAAAAAAAAAAGGCTAAAGGAGTTTATTATCACCAAACTAGCTCTGCAAGAAATGCTAAAGGGACTGTAGTGAGAGGAAGAATAGAGAGAAAGAGAGGAACACAGGCATAAAGAACAAAAAATCAATAAAAATATATTTTAAAAAAAGTTGGGAGGGAAAACAAGGGATGAGAAAACCCGTGCAGATCCAATGAATAAATCTATATCAGATACAATCAAGTGTCATTTTAATATTGATACAGCAGTACGTTAGGGAACAACACATCCAATAGGGTCCCTTCCACTAGGATAGAGTGTGTGGGACTGCAAGGTCAGACATGATCACGGGGAGCTCCTTCCTTGATCTTGGGGTGAGTGACCCAGGTTTCGGGTCTCAGGCAAAGCTGCCTTTAGCCCCGCTTTTTATAAAAGTATACTAGATCAGAGCCCGATTCAGAGGCCTCACAGGTCAGGCCAGGACGAAGGATCCCATGATGGCCCTCTTACTAAGATGCATCCTGATTAAGAAGAAACATCTGTCTCCCACAGCTACCACTCAACCCTTGGGCAGTATGAGGGGAGGCGGGCAGTATAGGCTAACAAGACCCAGGCAGAATCGACCAAGAAGGTCCCCAACAGTGCCAACCCTCACAGTGGACCCTTGAACCTCATGTGGAGGTTATGTGGAACCCAATGTTGGCTGTCAACTGCCCCTCCATCTCTTTATTCTACCCAAGAATAGAAAACTGGATAGCTCACCAGTCTTGTCCTCCTAAGTCCCCAAAAGCAATAGCGAATAGACAAAAAATAATGCAGAGAACTTTCCAGTCCAGGCCATCCCCAACATCAACCCAGTAACCTGTAGCCTAGAGTTCACGCCCCTTGTTTCTCATGTGGTCACTCTGAAAACCCCAGGAGGGACCTCACTGCCTCTAAACTCCTTCCAGCA